ATCATAATAATAACAATAACCATAATAGTAACACTAATCATAATAATAACAATAATAATAATAATAATAATAATAATAATAATAATTATAATAACCATAATAATCACAAAAGCAATAACAGTAACAGAAGGACCACACAGCACCTGATCCCATGTTTTGAAATCGGTTCAGAGCCACTTTTCGGAATCCCCCACAAGGCGCCTCCACACGAGGGTCACCCTTTCCCTTTATCTTATCGGCGCCCGAGTGGACATTTGCTGATAACGGTGGCGAGTTTTACGGCCGTTCCACCGCCCTGACACTGTGCCTGATAACAGTGCCTGGAACCTATGCCTCACTTTATGTATCGTGCCAACTAATACATCAATCACCCTTCCCACTTCATTACCCTCAACATGATGCGAATGAGGAGGTATAAAATAGAAGAGAAAAAAGACCATGAACAACGAATATAATTACAACCACAATAAAAAAACTAAAACTATTATCATAATTATAACGGATTTTACTGTTATTACAATCAACACCGTATTGATAAAACACAATAATCATATTCCTCCAATACTAATGCTTCGAATATACCATATATTTACAACAAAAGAAGTCGCCATAATGGTAATTGTTGTAATAAAATGATAAAATGCTAATAACAGTATTGTAATACAAATACTAATACTAAAGCCAGGATATACAAAGCTACGGTAGCACTAAGCGCATCAGAATTTAAACGCTACATGAACTTTCCCCCACCCCCACCCCCCTCCAGCTTTCATGGCACCTGAGTAGGAATGGGAGGGGAATGGCATCCCGTCGTCTTTCATCCCTCGCCTCTTTCTCTTCGTCCCTCGTCGCCCTCTCCTCGCCCCTCGTTCGTCCCTCGCGCCTCTCCCCTCGGTCCCGCCCCGCTCTCTCGCATCCCCTCTCGCCTCTCGCCTCTCCCCTCGCTCTTTCTCCCTCATGAAAACGACCTAGAGTCCCGTACGTTCAACAGGTGCGAAAAGTCAGTCAGTCGGGGGAATTTCTATTGACACTTGAGAGAGCGAGAGAGAGAGAGAGAGAGAGAGAGAGAGAGAGAGAGAGAGAGAGAGAGAGAGAGAGAGAGAGAGAGAGAGAGAGAGAGAGAGAGAGAGAGAGAGAGAGAGAGACGTGAATGAACGTCGGGCATAATGAATGGATCGCATGGATTTACAAACGAATTGCGTTTTCTTTGCGTGTGTGGGGATGCTGAATTGCTTGGATGGGTGGGTGAATGTGGGGGGGGGTGAATGAGAGCTTGGATGAGTATTATGAGTATTTGTCCGGGACACTGGGATACTGATTGACGGGGCAGTACGAATGCCTGCTCAATTGCAGCGTTGCCCGAGTTGCTCATCTGAAACTCTTCGTAGTCTTAATCTCTGTTATATATGCACGAATAAATATAAATACGTGCTTACATATTACAGCCTTGGCTTGATTATGACAGTTTTAGAAAATGCATAAATTATAGCTAAACGAAAAAGAATCTTGGTGGAAGTTATGAACTTAGCCAACTAAAAGACTAAATATAATGAAGAAACGTCAACTCCAACACCATCCCCATTCCCATTCATGTATTTCCTGTAGATACAACCAAAACCTGACAACTATGTTTCAGCTACTGCCCTTCCTTTCAGGCACCGTCCACGGGACCCCACACCTGTAAGGGCCCCACACCTATGAGGACACCACTCCTATGAGGTCCCCCACACCGCCTACAGCTATGCGGAGACTGCAGTGAGCGCCAGAGCCGACTGGCCCACTTCTACTGGCCGCGGGAAACGAGAGGAAATCGGGAAAATACGGCGCTAGGGGGGAATCATCCGGAGCGGGAGCCGGGCTTTCTGTGAATCGCACAAACGGTAACAATAGGAAAAATATATATATATATATATATACATACACACACACACACACACACGCATAGTACAGTACAGTATAGTGTGATATAGTAGAGTATAGTACAGTGTAGTACAGTATAGTATAGTATATCCATCTTTCTATCTGTCTCTATTTTTGTGTCTCCCCCTCCCTTTGCCTCTCTCTCCCCACCTCTCCCTCCCTCCATTCTATCCATCCCATCTATTCTCTCTATCTCCCTTTCCCTGCCTCCCTCCCCCCAGCCGCCGTCGGGACTTCTCCGAGTGAGCCGAGCGCCGAGACGTCGTGGTGCCTGCGAACCCGAGGCCGAACGAACCGCCGCGCCTTTACTTCAGCGCCCCCCTCCCCCTTCCTCTCCTTCCCCCCTCCTTCACAAATCCATCTCCTTCCGCTTCCTACTCCCTCTTCCCTCTTCCCTCTCCCCCCTTCCCCCCGATGGGCAGTATCCCCTTCGCTCGTTAAGGACGCAAAATTGCAGCTTCTGTGCGGTGATGCTTGGGAGCCGAGAGAGAGAAATCCTTGCGTAAAAATAAATAATTAAATAATTAAAAAATAGAACAAAATCAAATAAAAAACTAAAAAGGCCCTGTTAAAATGAAAAATTATAAATATGACTATGAATATTCACAACGACCACTGCTACGAGTAACCATGATGATGATTATTTATGATAACGATGATGATGGCGAAAGATGGCGATGCAACTGCCTCCTAGAATAACGATAATGATAGTGACGATTCTAAAACCAAATATAAAGAAGAAGAAAAAAAGAAAAAGAAGAAGAAGAAGAAGAAGAAGAAGAAGAAGAAGAACAACAACAACAACAACAACAACAACAACAACAACAACAACAACAACAACAACAACAACAACAACAACAACAACAACAACAACAACAACAATAATAAAACCAATAACGAAAACATCCTCCCCTCTCTCCTCCCACCCACAACCCCCCTCTTCCCCACCATCCCGCCCCTCGTTCCCCGCCATAAACTCCGAGTGACTGACCGCCCACACGCCCACCATCGGCTAAGTGCGGATCCTTCCCCATTCCGAGAAAATTCGCTTGGTAGCGCAGACGCCGGGGAGGGGGGGGGCTCTTTGCTTTTGTATTTGTCTTTATCTTTTTGTTATTGTTTGTTTTCGTGATTTTTATTTGAGGGGGGGAGGGGGTGATGATAACATCGGCAATTGTGGCAATCGCTGTGGTATATGTAACAACCATAGTTGTATTGTAGTAGCGGCACTCATGAATATAACAGAACAACGAGACTATGAGCAATAACACAACAGCAACGGCAACAAAACAACAATAACATCGACATAAAAAACAACAACCACAACAAAGAACAACAAAGCAGGTAAATACACTTCAAATACCAGTAACAGCGACAACACCGACACCAACCTACACCTCATTAACTACACCAGCACAAATAACAACGTGAAAAACAACCAGAATAAGGAAATAACAAGTGTCTCGCTACAGAGACCAGGAAGGCCACTGGATAACTAAAATAAGATGATGACAATATAATAGAAAAATAAGAATAATAAAAATATGAAGGTTAATAATAACATTATTATTAACAACAATAACAACAACTACAATAATAATAATAAAAATAACAATAAGGACAATGATAATAACAATAATAAAAAAACAATAATAATAATAATAATATCCGTAGCAATAATAATAACATAACTATCATTAATACCTCTATTCATCATCACTATGATCATTATAAAATAAAATACAACAATAACATTACCATGAATAATAATAACAATACTGACAACAGCATTGATGATGATGAAGATAATGATGATGATGACAGAATATAGAAATATAGAAATCAGACGATGACGACGACAACAAAACCAACACCAACAACACCAACACCAACACCAACACCAACACCAACACCAACACCAACAACAACAACGACAACAACAAAGGCCTGGATTTCCAAGCCTCCATGACGACTTTCTCCCCAAGCCCTGTTGGCAGGACAGCGAAGAAAATGACGAGATAATGGCCGAAGTGAGGGGATAATAATAGCAATGGCAATGGTGTTTACGATGATAGCAAGGATAAAATGATATTAATAAAGCGACTCAAGGTGAGAGTGGATGGGGAGCGGGAAAGGAATACGGAGGAAAGCAGGGAACGAGGGAAAGAAAGATAGAAAGAAGGGAAAAAAAGAAAAGAAAGAGAGTGGATGAGTGTGTGTGTGTGTGAGTGTGTGTGTGTGTGAGTGTGTGTGTGTGTGTGTGTGTGTGTGTGTGTGTGTGTGTGTGTGTGTTGTGTGTGTGTGTGTGTGTGTGTGTGTGTGTGTGTGTGTGTGTGTGTGTGTGTGTGTGTGTGTGTGTGTGAGTGAGTGAGTGAGTGAGTGAGTGAGTGAGTGAGTGAGTGAGTGAGTGAGTGAGTGAGTGAGTGAGTGTGAGTGAGTGAGTGAGTGTGAGTGAGTGTGAGTGAGTGAATGAGTGAGTGAATGTGAGTGAGAGGGAGTCGTTAACGTATGCAGAATACCTCTTCTATCTTAATTTGTATTTTATGCAGAATATCTCTTCTATCGTAATTTGTATTTAAGTGTTACTTCCTATGTATTAATTTGTCTAATTATCCATCTAACAATGCCCTCCATGTCGCAATGGCGACAAATACTACACCAGAATATTTACAATACAGTCGCCAGCAAAACAATCAAACAATGCTAGCTTTCTCTCTCTCTCTCTCTCTCACACACACACACACACACACACACACACACACACACACACACACACACACACACACACACACACACACACACACACACACACACACACACACACACAGATAAATCTCCCGTGTCGCTTCCGGCTTTGATAGAGGCCCGGGACACACTGCTGTAAATTGGACACCTTTGTCTCGTTTTTTGTGGACCTTGTAAACACGCCCCAACAGGTGCTGCCGGGATCATCCCTGAACAACCCGTAACTTCAAGTCACCGCAAATTACCGTTACCTATTTTTTTCCTGTTCATGTTTGTTGTTTTTCGTTTCACCCCCACTCTTTGTCAGCTCCGAGTGGGCTGCGAGCGTGACTTACCCGCCTTCTCCGGCGTCCGCTTCTTCCTGCGCGTGAAGAAGAACCAGAAGGGCCACCTGTCCTTCTTGGATTTGGGGACGTTGTTGGCGCGCTCCTTGTTCAGCAGGTTGAGCGCCATCGCACGACGCCGCCGCCGCCGATGCAGCCAACGCCGCCGCCGCACACTGCCGCAGCGCAGGTGGTCGCCACGCTCCGATCAGGTCCGTTCACGTCGCGCGCTTTTCGGGGGTCGTGCTTGCTGTCATCATCCTGGCTTTTCATCACTGCCTCATCACTGAGCACGCACTGACACCACCACACTATTCCTATTGCTTTTCCTGAATTTCACCGGAAACGCAGAGTGGATAATTAGATGATCACCTTTTCGGCGGCAACTCTTCAGCCCCTGCCCCGCTCAAGCACTCACACCTTCACCTTCGCGCCACAAAGCCCCGCGAACAGACACTTAGCCGTTGTTCGGCGGCGGGTCACATCGGGTGGTTGCCTGCCATAGGCGGTTCCAGGGCCAGAGGCTGAGGAAATCCTGGCACCCTCCCCCCTCCCCTCTGGGGTGCCGACCACCCCGCAGCCGCAGGCGATGACACCTTCGCATTGGCCCTTCCCTCCCCCAGGCGATACGACCCCTACCGCACGCGACCACCTTCCTTAAAGCCGAGTGCCACCCGGCGGCGGAGGGCGTGCAACACCACGAGGCACTGCCCCTCCCCTTCCCCCTCCCCCTGGACCGCCTCTGGCCGCTTCTTCTTTAACCCAAGCCTTGCATAAGCGCGGCCGCCGAGCACACACATGCCCCAACTTGTGGGATCACAAAAGGACGCTGTAAACACAGCCGCCTCTCACTTCGACGGCGACACGCCCTCCGCCCGCCGCGCCGCCCCTCGCCTCGGTCCAAAGCCAAGTCCTCGCCGAGCACCAGGCCTCCGCCAGGGGCACGTCTCGACCGAGGAGCGGAGTCCCAACTCGAACACGGCGCACACCCCCGCCTCGCCGCGACGACACTTCCTTCACCTTGTTGCTGCCACTCGCTGCTGCTTCGCTCCCCTCCTGCCACGCCGCCTGGCCCCGCAGGCGAGCGCTCTTTAAACCGCCGTCTCTCGCCCGCCCCTCCTTGCCCTGCCCGAAAATCACTAGAGCCTCGGCCCTCCTCCAGTGCACCGCCCAAGTCACCTCCTGCCCGCGTCGCGCCGCCAACGAGCGTCGGCCACCATATGAACGGCCTCTGTCATGCGACTGGTTTGTGACTGATGAGGGAGGCGTCACTGTGCCGTGTTCCCACCCCGTGTATTACCTGCCCCCCCCCCCCACCACCTTCCATCCCTCGCTCCCTCCCTCCTTGCTGCCTCCCTCTGATGACCCCCCCCTCCCTGCTGCCTCCCTCTGACGCCCCCCCCCCCCTCCCTACCTGCTCCTCAAGTAGGCAGTCGTAGCGCGTCATTCGTGCAACAGTCACTGAGCTGTGCATGCAAACAACATCCCCCTGTGCTTCGTGCATGCAAGCTACGTCCTTCGCCTGTGCAGTAAACACTCTATAGTTCTAGAAACAGGAACGAAGACGAAGACTCAAGCCCACAGGTGGCGGGCGCACTGACCAGCCACAACCACTTCCTGGTGACAGTGCTGGGACCTCCACGAGGGACAAGGACACGTGGACTCATCTTCCTCCGAAGCCAAAGTGAAAAGTAAATCTAATTTCGTGCCGGCCGGGGGACCAACGAGAAAACGACACCGTTCGCCATCCTATTAACTTGAGCAATTGGAAGCACCAGCCGCGCATGCTTCGCTGCTCGCCATACGGCTCGGCTACTCCAGTAGAAGCGAGATCAGGCCGCCTCGGTCCGAGGCACGGATCGCCGACACAGGCGAAGACACCGAGACTCAATTAGGCCTCTGCCAGGGTCAGGGTCAGCAGGGCCGGAGGATGAACAGCCGTTCTCTGGGCGCCGCAAGAGGGAGAGGGAGGGACGGAGGGAGCGAATGGGGGCGGGGCAGCACTCACCACTTGCAAGTCTAGCCCTGCTTTGCTTCGCTCATTGTCAAAGACCTCAATGGAAACCGGCGCTGCCCGCCGGTGGCATCCTCTTGGAAATCAGCCTCCTCGACGAACTCGCAGCGCCGCATCCCGCGAGCGAGCAGGCGCGAGAGCGTAACTCCCGCCATTCACGAGTTGCTCGGAGGATGCTGTGCACTACACCACAGGACTACGTCACCTGCCGTGGCTGCATGCAGGCTCGTGCAGCACGTGCGTGGACGCCGCACGCCGCCGCAGTCGAGTCCACTCCGCACCCACACCTGGCTGGCAAGTTCCCACAACACCCCACAGTCGCCCCCGGCACGGCCCACAGCTCTCCGAAGGGGCTTCGCGATGCCGAGATTCACTCGCGATTCGCCGAGGCGTGCTGCGCGTCGCGTCACCTCCTCGACGTGAGCGTGACGTCCTCCGCCGTCACGACGGCCACACGTCGCCGCACCGCACTGGCGACGCCCGAGATGGAAAGACGAGCGTGAACCTTTTTTCTCTTCACTTCATTCTCTTTTTCTCCTCTTCCCTCTTCTTTCACATCAAACGTTTCCATTTGGCAACCCGCGCCTGCTGGCACACATGGCAGCCGGGTTGCGTCACTGGCGGGGAAACAATGGGCCGGCAGTGACACCGCTTTCGCAACAGGCGGTGTCACCGCTGCTTCCACCCGGCATCCTAACGCACTGTCACCGATCGCCACCTGACCTTCACGGGATCGCCACAGCCACGGCGCGAAGCGGTCACGAAGGGAGCGAAGAATTCACATCTTACAGCGGCGCAGCCCTACTTGACCACGGCCACCGACAGGAAGTACAGAGAAAAAGAAAAGATATGTATGCACAGCGTGTATGAATGAATGTATAAATGTGCGTGCGTGCGCGTGTGTGTGTGTGTGTGTGTGTGTGTGTGTGTGTGTGTGTGTGTGTGTGTGTGTGTGTGTGTGTGTGTGTGTGTGTGTGTGTGTGTGTGTGTGTGTGTGTGCGCGCGCGCGCGCGCGCGCGTGCATGTAAGCATATATAAATGCATGTAAGCAAGCATACATACAAACATATGTAAATGTAAATGCGAACGAGGGAAAGAAAAAAGCCTCAGGAGAGGAAGCGAGACACGGTACCCACGAGAGCGCCGTTCAATGTTTTCGGCACTCCTCACGGCACTCACGCCCAGCAACTAGCCGCGGCAGAACGTCCACACACGAACACACAACCGGAGCCTCCCGCAGTTCCATCCAGTTCCAGCGATGTGCACGCCGCGGCCTCCTTTCCCTGGCTCTTGGGCGGGGACCGGACAAAGGGAGGGAAAGGGAGGCGCAAGAGCGAGGAAAAAGAGAGAGGGAGGGAGGGAGGGAGGGAGGGAGGGAGGGAGGGAGGGAGAGGGAGAGGGAGAGGGAGAGGGAGAGGGAAAGGGAAAGGGAGAGGGAAAGGGAGAGGGGAGAGAGAGAGAGAGAGAGAGAGAGAGAGAGAGAGAGAGAGAGAGAGAGAGAGAGAGAGAGAGAGAGAGAGAGAGAGAGAGAGAGAGGGGGGGGGGGAGTTGCAGCAAAAGTAAAAAATACAATGGAAACCAGAGTAAGATAGATATTTTTTTAAAAATGTCGAGAGAGAGAGAGAGAGAGAGAGAGAGAGAGAGAGAGAGAGAGAGAGAGAGAGAGATGTAGAGAGAGAGAGATGTAGAGAGAGAGAGATGTAGAGAAAGAGAGATGTAGAGAAAGAGAGATGTAGAGAGAGAGAGATGTAGAGAAAGAGAGATGACGAGAAAGAGAGATATAGAGAAAAAGAAAGAGAGATATAGAGAAAAAGAAAGAGAGATATAGAGAAAAAGAAAGAGTGATATAGAGAAAAAGAATGATATATAGAGAAAGAGAGAGATATATAGAGAAAGAGAGAGAGAGAGAGAGAGAGATGTAGAGTCACACAGAGAGACAAACAGCTGGCCGTGGTCGAGGTACAGTTAAATCGGAACACGTGCAGGGGAGCGAGCGAGCGAGGCACAGCGCGGGCGTGGAGCCGTCACACACACCCAGAGAGAGAGAGAGGGACACTGAAGCCACAATGAACGCCACCTCCGTCAGCGAGAGAGAATGAGGGGGGAGGGGGGGAGGGGGGGAGGGGAGAGGGGAGGAGGGGGGAGAGGAAGGAAGGAGGGGGGTAAGGGATGGGAGGAAGGAAGGAGGGGGTAAGGGATGGGAGGATGGGAGGGAAGGGGAAAGGGGGAGGTTGGGAGGGGGGAATGGGAGGGGCAGGGGAATGCAAGGGGGAGGGGTGGGGGGGAAAGGAAGGGGAACGCAAAGGAAGAAGAGTAGTGGGAAAGGGAAGGGTGCCAGGGATGAGAGGCAGAGATAAGGGGAGAGGGGAAGGATAGAAAGGGGAGAGGGAGGTGAAAAAAGGAAGAGATGATGGGGGGGGAGGTAGGAAAAGAGGGAGAAGGAAAAGGCACGAAGGGATGGAGGGTGGGGGACGGACGCTCACTCTCCCTGCCAACACTTCAAGAGTTGATAACGCTTATCATATCGCCACCCAGATAAGCACTGTGTGCACTAGCTGAGCACTAAGAAACCTCTTGTGAAAGGTAAAATACAAAATAAATAAAATATAAAAGGCCTGGAGCAGCGTAACAGTCACCACTGATATCATCACAAATAATATCAATACAAAAACAATAAAAGAATAAGACAATAAAAAAAAAAACATTACCAACAGAAATATTAAAGACAAAATTCAAACTAATCAACAAAGTCAGGATAACAAGAATATTAATAATCATAATAACAACTGACAAACAAACAGTCATAGCCACAACGGCAACTACAATGATAATAATAATAATAGTAGTAGTAGTACTAGTAAGAGCAGAGTAGTAATAGTAGTAGTAATAACAGTAGTAGTAATAACAGTAGTAATAGTAATAGTAGTAGTAGTAGTAGTAGTAGTAGTAGTAGTAGTAGTAGTAACAGTAGTAATAGTAGTAGTAGTAGTAGTAGTAGTAGTAGTAGTAGTAGTAGTAGTAGTGGTAGTAGTGGTAGGTAGTGGTAGTGGTAGTGGTAGTGGTAGTGGTAGTGGTAGTGGTAGTGGTAGTGGTAGTGGTAGTGATAGTGGTAGTGGTAGTGGTAGTGGTAGTGGTAGTGGTAGTGGTAGTGGTAGTGGTAGTGGTAGTGGTAGTGGTAGTGATAGTGATAGTGATAGTGATAGTGGTAGTGGTAGTGGTAGTGGTAGTGGTAGTGATAGTAGTAGTAATAGTAATAGTAATAGTAATAGTAATAGTAATAGTAGTGGTAGTAGAAGTAGTAGTTGAATAATAATAATAATAATACTAATACTAATACTAATACTAATACTAATACTAATACTAATAATAATAATAACAATAACAATAATAATAATAATAATAATAATAATAATAATAATAATAATAATAATAATAATAATAATAATGACAATGACAATGACAATGACAATGACAATGACAATGACAATGACAATGACAATGACAATGACAATGATA